AGCCTACATGTTAGTTCTACATTATTATTCTTCAGCAGAAAAAAAAAAAAAAAAAAAGAAAAAGAAAAAGAAAAAAATGGAGAGTCAACAGCCTGTCCAGAAAAGCCCGTGGGCCTTACTGCTGTGCATTCTACGAGTCTTTCCCAGAAGGTCCTTGGTACTTACAGCCTCATAGTCTGCGAGCTCCAGTCGTGCCTTGTTTTGCATTGTTCTCTTGCAGAGGTAAACAGCTGGAAGAAAAAAAATCAATCATTTCTTGCTTGCTTATCAACACCATGGCACTATGAGTACAAGTACAGCATTGTAAATCAAGACGTTTGCACCATTTCCCCACGTGGTAATTTCCAATCATTTTCTTAGACAAATAATAATTATGTCATAACATTATTATTGAAATTCAAGCACTGTGTCATTTATGGTATCCTATAAAAATAAATAAGCTAAGAAACTTGGTAACTTTCTTTTTTTGGAGACGGTCTTACTCTGTCACCCAGGCTGGAGCAAGTGCAGTGGCAAGATCCTTGCTCACTGCAGCCACAAACTCCTAGGTGCAAGCGATCCTTTCTCCTCAGCCTCCTGAGTAGCTGTGATTATAGGCGTGAGCCATCAAGCCTAGCTAATTTTACTATTATTATTATTTGTAGAGAGGCTTCTCGCTTTGTTGCCCTGGCTGGTCTTGATCTCCTGAGCTCAATTGATCCTTTTACCTTGGCCTCTCAACGTGCTGAGATCAGAGGCATGAGCCACCATGCCTGGCCTGTTTTTAAAATGTTTATTAAATGGTCATCACCATTTTTAGCATCTTCGACAAATAAGGGGATAAAATAAAACCTTTAAAAGAGTCATCAAGTGAATTTAAAAATCCATATATACAAATAAAATCATTTTGCAAAAAGGAAATGATGAATTAGTGGCACATTCAGTGATTCCCAGATTCCACTGTCAACTGAAAGGCTTTGTTCATGTACACTGAAGGCTTCCTGGCATCTTCTTTGCTTCATTTCAGAAGAGCCAATCTTCCATTGTTCTGTCACTAGCAGGAGGACACGGCATCTTACCTACCTTCCATAGAATTTCCTTTTTCCTGAGCATTCAGTGGCCTAGGCTACCATGGAAAGCCCCTCTGGGCAGCAGATGTATAGAACAGTGACAAGAGTGTTTCAATTGAGCAAATTTCTTCAATTATTCCTGGGTATTCTGGTGACTCCCATGGCAACCTCAAGACAGTCACAGCCCTCTCGTAGAGTCCTAATTGCCAGAATATTTTTGTCATTGCTTTCCACTCAATAGGTATGATATTTGAGTCTCATGAAACTCAAGATAAATTATATCTGTCCCAGATGCTGAGTAAAGGCATTGGATGAGGATTGTAAGGCTACCTCTCTGAGGTTGCCTTCGAAATATTGCCTTTGCATTACATTGCACCACCCTTAGTTTTGGATAATGACCTCCAGCTGGTATCATTAACGAAACATACAAAACAGAAAATTTGAGATCAGTGCAAACAGGGATACTATTTACTCAAGTTCTGTAAGGTTTCCTGTATGAAAGTCAAAGCAAAGGAGAGAGCCAACCACAGAATGATGCTGACATTCCTACAAATGCTAAGAACCCTACAATTAGTATTAGAACACATCTCTCTATTTTGAGACAAAGTCTCGCTCTGTTGCCCAGGCCGGAGTGTTACAGCATGGTTTGGACTCACTGCAAAATCCGCCTCCTGGATTCCAGTGATTTTCCTGCCTCAGCTTCCTGAGTAGCTGGGATTATAGGCACCTGTCACCATGCCTGGCTAATTTTTTTTTATTTTTAGTGGAGATGGGGTTTCACTATGTTCGCTAGGCTGGTCTCAAACTCCTGACCTCATGATCCACTCGCCTTGGCCTCCCAAAACTCTGGGATTACAGGCGTGAGTCATTGCGCCGGGTCAGAACACCTCTTTCTACAATTGACCATGATAATTTTATTGTCCTAATATTAGTAATTATTAAAAGTTAAACTTCAAAAACAAAAGTGACATGACACGTTCATTTCCTAATTGGTCATAACTGACACTCACTCCTGAAGGGCCTTGTACTGTAGAGGCCACTGTGACTTGAGTAAAATATCTAAAATGTTCTAAGCAGTTGTAAAAGAAATTGATGCGTATGTGAAATACTCCGGAGGGTGTCTCTTTGTGAGAGAAATATCAAATCTTCTTAAATATCTAATTGAATAATTTCAGCTTTCCTGTGGAATTACCTCTAATGAAATTTCAAGTCCCAGCTATGCGTTCCATCAATCACCCCTCCTGTGTCCTCCTGCATCCGCTTCTCCTTGCTTTATTGGTTCTGCCCATCTAATCTTTGTTCTTTGCAAAATCAGCTCCCTCTGGGGAAATGTTTCTCATCATTAGGTACACTAATGCATTAAAGCAAGAGTGGGTTGATTTTATTTTTTACGTGACTGCTCACAAAGACATTATGCATCCTGTAATACAAGTGTCCTATGATGTGATTTTCTTTAATTCTCTAGGGAACAAAATGAAGGTGTGGGCAGACAGTGCCAGGTATAAAGTAGTGGTATCACATATAGTTGTTGAATGAGTGAATTAAAAAATGAAAGAATAGGATAGCTTCAGAAGGAGCTATTTTGAGATCAAACCAACTTAAGTGATAAAATCTCCCTAAATGTCTACTTGATTCTTTGGTATAAAGAAAGACAAGAAGCTGGGCATGGCGGCTTGCTTCTGCAGTCTCAGCTACACTTGGGAAGCTGAGGAAGGAGGATCATTTGAGACTAGTAGTTTGAGGCTGCAGTGAGCTATGACTGCACCACTGCACTTCAGACTGGCCAACAGAGTGAAACTCTGTCTCTTAAAAAAATAAAAGAAAAAAAGAGGAAAAAGGTACATCTCTGAGTTAACAGTATAGAGAATCATCTGATTACTGTTGAAGATAGAGCAAATATGCTCTTGATTAGAGAGGTACTGACCTCATCAATCTAGTCCAGATACAGTTGCTGGATGTTGACAGGTACAGATAATACTTTTTATTCTTTATCAGCAGAGAGTACTAGCATTGGTCAAGATGTGGATGGAGCAGAAGGTCCAAGTAGATCAAAGAGGATTCCAGCTCAGGAAATTTCCCAGTTCATTAAAGATTGACTATGCACTTATGCATAGTCAAAACTACAGCTCAGGCCAAGTGCTTTTGTGCCAATCCTAATTATTGAGGCACTGAACATGCTCTGTGTGGTGCTATGTATAGACCCAGGCCCAGATCCAAAAGAGTGAATCTTTTTTAACATAACCCTGAATATTTCCTGCTGTGACAAAATACTGAAAATATCAACTAATGATGCCATTTCTGGGGTTCTATTTAAAATGCTTTCTATTATTGAAGACAATTTCAATACCAAGTTTAAATATATCTCCCCGCAGTAGTTTTCTGAGAGATCATAAGGAGACAATTTGGAAGACTTGGGAGGTCAAACAAGTAATTTAACAGGAGGCTATGCCACTCAGTGGGAGAAATTTTGGTAAGGCCAGAAGTGCCACTCCGGCTACAAATGCTGCAGAGATAAGGCATAGATTTTGACCCAAATGCAACTTAGAACTTAGATGGAAAAGTCAACGTTTCTGGATCACATCTTTGAGTAGAAACTGAATAGAAAGTGAGCGCTGACATCAGGTCTTCTGCTTTTATCTAATAAAGCTCTAGAGAAGCTGGAGAGGCCACTTAGACAGACACTGATGGCCATGACGAAAGTGTAAAGGCACATCACACAGGCCAGTGAGAAAATCTCTAAGACCCCAGTATCAAAAGGTGGAAAGAATAGGAATATCTCATTCACCAGGACTAGAACTATAAGAGTCTAATAAATATTCTTAAATTACCCAACTTACAACTCAGGTAATCCAATTAACTTACGTTGTTCATGCCATTCTACTTTCTTTTTTGAATCACTTAATGTTTAGTTTGTGACTAATTCTTCCCTTGTTCCAGAATTTTAAAGTCAGGCAGTTTGTATAATCTTGTCTCCCATGCTTGGGTAATTCAGAGTCCCAAGTTACTTGAGAGGTGGTAGGGTCATGAGGGTGGAGCCTTCCTTCAGGAGATTAGTGCACTTATTAATAGACTCAAAGGAGCTGGTTCACCCTTCTACTATGTGAGGACAGTGAGACGGTGCTGTCCATGCACCAGAAAGTGGGCCCTCCCCAGACATCAAATCGGTTGACACTTTAATCTTGGACTTTCCAACCTCCAGAATTGTGAGAAATCAACATTTGCTGTTTATAAACAAAACAAAACAAAAGGCTACCAAGTTATTATTATTATTATTTTGAGACCGAGTCTCACTCTGTCTCCCAGACTGGAGTGCAGTGGCATGATCTCAGCTCACTGTAAGCTCTGCCCCCTGGCTTCAAGCAATTCTCCTGCCTCAGCCTCCCTAGAAGCTGGGATTACAGGCACCTACCACCATGCCCGGCTCATTTTTGTATTTTTAGTTGAGACAAGGTCTCACCATATTGGCCAGGCTGGTCTTGAACTCCTGAGCTCAGCTAATCCACCCACCTCGGCCTCTCAAAGTTCTGGGATTACAGGCATTAGCCACCATGCCCAGCCAGTTACCAAGTTATTAACGAGAATGTTCATCTCAAGTAATGATCAAATAATCATGCAGCTTGTGGGTGAGAAGAAGTGTTAATGACTTCTTTCTCTCCTCTCCGACTCCTTCTGTGATTCCTGCCAAGAACCATGAACTGAGGACTCTAATCCTCCAGGGGCTGGGGCATAGGAGAGGAATGGGCAACACTGATTTTCTTACAATATTTTTCATTGGAATAGAACTTTATTATATTTGATGGAGAATTTGAATTTTATTGTTGAGATAAATCTGGTGTGTAACAAAAATAAATATGTGCTTCACAGGAGCTTTCCTTTATTTTTATTTTAAAATTCTAAAAATATTTTATTTGTATTTTTCATGGACAAATGAAAAATTGCACATATTTATGTTGTACTATGTGATATTTTGATATAGGCTACACGCTTTGGAATGACTAAATCAAGCTAATTAACATTTCCATCACTTTACACTCTTACCACTTCTTGTGATGAGAACTTTAAAAATGTACTCTGGATGGGTGTGGTGGCTCATGCCTGTAATCCCAGCACTTTGTGCGACCGAGGTGGGTGGATCACTTGAGTTCAGGAGTTCAAGATCAGCCTGGTCAACATGGTAAAAA